CAGGTCAAAGTGAATGCTTTGGCTCCCTCTGGAGGCGGAAAGCCAAACTGCATCATGTCAGTTCAAACCATAAACGTAGCCACTGTGATGTCACCCAAGTTTATCCAAACGCCTAATAGGGCCTTATTGATAATATCCAACCTTTTTCAATTCAGGGCCCACTTAGGAATCACATTTTTTTCGCGGCCCACATTCAACCATAAACAATATGGAGGCTAAATAAAATTCTGATTGGTCAATTCAAAACACATTGTTAATCCAGTAGAACAGACCGCTGTGCTAGACACTTACGCTCGTGTTGTGTTCAAAATTCCTGGCCAGGAAAAACAGGCACTCGCTTGAAACTCTTCGGTTCTCCACGAATTACACAAGTCACCCAAATCAGCGTTAAAAAAGCGGGAGGCGCCGAAAAGCGACTAATTTGCATCACTGCTTTGAAGAGGCCCTATTCCCTTTCCTAAAGTGTGTTGTATAGATTTGTTTGTGCAGCACAGGCAGTATGGGAACATTAAAGCATGGAGACATGTCACAGTAGAGGAAACAAATACAAATAGATGTGAGAATTAGCATGAACTATGACAGATAGTTGTGCAACTTACCTTCCATCCCAACAGCTCAGCAAGGGCCAAACAGCCGTCATCACATGTACTGATGTGAGCTACATCTCTGGAGAACAAAACACAGTGTTAAAACATAGACACATCTCCATTAAATGTGTTTATTTCCAGCTCTAAAGCATAAGCACTGTTGGAGGAGCCTGGGACCTAAGATTGTCATCGACATAACTACACTGTAGCTATGTAGGAATGACAGTAAAAGCCTTGGATCTTGAATAATATTCGAACACTTTCCCGGGTGTTTTAGAGGGGTTTCGTTAACATGCGCTGTCAGAGATGACTCAACAAACTGTCATTGGTGTCGTCAACAAGCAACAATGTTTGGATGTCATGATGACTGTCGATTGTTTCTGTGATTACTGAGAAAGTGAGTTTAATAAGAATTAAGCTAAATGATGAGAGAACCAGAAAATGAAGCACAGGTCAAAGTGAATGCTTTGGCTCCCTCTGGTGGCGGAAAGCCAAACTGATCATGTCAGTTCAAACCATAAACGTAGCCACTGTGATGTCACCCAAGTTTGTCAAGGACTGTAATGACCGTTGCTAAGGAGGATCAAGAAAGAGAAAGGAAAACAAATCATAATGTTTTGCAAATTATTTGGCGGCAAATATTCAATTTACATTTACACCCTTTCATATTTTATTTGGGCTTTTAGATGAAGACCGCACACAGTTAATAAATACAACTATTCTTTTGGCTACAATACATATTTTAAAAACTCAATCAAGGAGTAATCTTAATTTAAGGTGTTTGAAGAGTAGATTAAAAATACAATTTATTTTGGATACAATTATTACCGCAAAAAATCAAAGGGCGGCTGAACACGCCATGAATTGGGAAATAATGAGCTCTAACGAAGAGTGGATTTAAAGGAACAATAAATATGCTTGCCATGTTGTGTTTTTGGTGGTTTTTGGTTGTCAACCTATTTTTGTTTGTGAAATGTTGAAGTGGTCCTACTGACTGTATATTTATTTATTCTGTTTTTGTTTTGTTTTTGTCTGAGATGGTAATGTCATCTCCTATATGTTATTGTTATGTCCATGTTTGTGTCTTTAGCCTGTACAAAATAAAAATAATAAAAATAATTTTGCAGCCCAGTTGCAATGCCTTCTCTGACCACTAGGGGGCCCACAGGTTGGGAACCGCTAAAATAGAGAATTAAGACGTCACAATTAACATTTACTGAAAATGAACCAAGACAGGTCAAAAGTTTTAAAAACTGACAACATCCAAACCAAACAACTCTGTTAGCAACCTAAAGCATACACTGTTTGATCCTTTTCTTTTCATATAAATGGAACAATACATTCTTAAACTGAACATCATGCTGTATTTAAGAAGCCTTAAAACAAAAATTGAGACCATGAACGTACTAGAAAATATTTAGTGAGAAAATAAACCAAGTGAAAAGTATAGGGTCATTTTAGTTGCATCTTTTCAAACCTGGAAGTTGATGCTTAGTTCAAACTGATAGACAAAATACATGCACATTTAACATTACATTTAATATGATATACTGTTTATCAACCATTACTGATTATTTCATCATTTTGACCCAGGTGATACATTTCTTAAAAACTGTTCATCATCCCAAATAATCTCTTTCCCCTTTAATCTGATCCGATGTGTATAATCTGGATGATTTACTTCTCTATCGGGTAGATGCAATCAGATGTTCTAAACACAAGATAAGAAGTTGAAATGGTACAATAAAAGTAAACCAGCCAAACAATTTGCGACAGGAAGTCTCTCTGTTTCACCTGTACGCTTTGTCTGATTCAAAGTCCATGCCTCCTCCAAAACCCAGCAGCCCGAGCATAGGATCCGCCTGCGGAGGAAACAGGAAATACATCTGTGACGTAAAGAATAGTCAGCGTACAGGCAGGAAATGGTTGATGGAGGGGAAACGCTCACCTGCCCGGCCTTCTCCATGTTTATGAGCAGTCTGGGGCAACTTTTAGAAACTCTAATGAGAGAGGAGAGAGAGCAAAGAAAAAGGGACGGAAACAAATTACTTAAAGGTCTCCTATTATTCTGTTTTTCATCAATATATTATAGGTCTCAGATATATACAGAACCTGTCTCTGATTGGCTGAAACACCAAACAGATCATTGCAGCATTACCCATAATCCCCTCTGTTTCAGCCCTGTTTCCAAAGTGCTGATTCTCTGTCTGTTACTGTAGATGAAAATAAGGAGCCCCTCCCCACGCCCCTCTGAGAGACATTTGGTTACAAAGAACACAATGGTGCTCTAGGAGGAGATTCAGGTGATAAGGGGGGGGGGGTTACCTTGGTTGCTGATTGGCTAATGGTTACACAATACAAAACATTGTTATGACATCATCAAGTGGTCAAAATCTGATCAGCTCATTTTCAGACAGGTTTTTATAGAAATGGATCAAAAAGAGAGAGAATGTTTGTTGCTGAAACTTTCAGAGTCTCTTTCCACAGAGGGGACACATGTTGATGTAGAAGAGACATGAAGAAGAGGGGACACATGTTGATGTAGAAGAGACATGGAGAAGAGGGGACACATGTTGATGTAGAAGAGAC